CACAGTTTGGCTATTGTGGACATTGCTGCTATAAACAGCTACCATAGGATCCAGCAATTGCACTACTGGGTATTTACCCCAAAGATACAAATGTAGGGATCCGAAGGGGTACATGCACCCTGATGTTTATAAATTACATATATGTCTTATTCATATTATATATTATCATATGTAATATTGCATTATTATATATTATATATTAATATATTATATATTATCTATAAATTACATATACATGCCTTATTTATAGTATATATATTATCATACAGATTATTATATTATATATATTATTATATTATAGGTAATACATGTTTCATATATACCTTATATATATATGAGCATGACTACCTTTGAGTCTTATTTATTGACAGTACACTGTCTGGTCTTCTGTATTTTTTTTTTCTGTCAACACTGAATTTCTAATATTTCTAAGAATTTCTAAGACATGCATATGTAATATATATATGTATGTACATATATTACACATACACACATATGTACACATATGTGTGTATTACATATATGTGTCTTATCTACATTATACAAATTATGCATGTTGTATTATGTATAATATATATTACATACATATAATATGTATACACTTATATATGTCATATAAGTATGACATATTTTTTGAGTTTTACTCATTGATAGCTCATTGTCTTGTCTTGTGTATTTTTTCTGTGCACACTGAATTGCTAAGATTCACCCATAACGTTGCATACAGATTTAATTTGTTATCTCCCCGTTTGCACAACATTGCATTGTGCAATTATTCCGCACTCTATATATCTGTTCTCCCGTGGGCACACGTGTGGGTTGTTTGCATTTATCACCGGTACAGACATTATCGCTAAGGGCATGAGAACACGTGCACACGTACGCAAGAGTTTCTACAGAGTTTATCCCAACCAGGGGAACTGCTGGGTCATGTTCAGCTTCGCAAGATGGTGCCAAGTGGATTTCCAAAGAGACGGCACTAATTTGCAGTCCCGGCAGCGAGGGATGGGTGTTCTGATCGCTTCGCATGCGCACCTACAGATGGTCGTACCAGTGGTTAGGGACCGCTAATGGACAGAAAAGCAATTGCTGTCTCTTCTCAGCCTGATGTTTCGCGGCTGGGCTTATGGTGCGATGTGTCCGAGTGGCTGAGTTCTGTTCAAAGGAATGTGAGTGGAAGGATGTGCACCAGGGAAACGTCCCAGGGGTGGGCACACACGTGCTTTTTCCCTTGCAGCTGCATGGGGTTGGAACCACAGCAGCAAAAACATCCCCAGCAAAAAGCCAAGAAACAGAAACAAGCATAGCTCGGGAGGCAGGTGTGGCAGACGGCAGAGCACTAATTTGGCGAGGAACCTGCTCTCTCAGCACGTGGAAGAAATCTACTTGAGCAAGGACACCTGCAACGGACGAGTGATTTTAAAACAGATCAACGGTGATTGTGTCAAGTCCAACAAATTCTCTGGTGTCTTTGCCAGCTGGCTGAGCATTCCTCTCATTAGGACAGCTAGGCTTCTTACTTCTTACTTATTTTTTTTTTAAGATTTTATTTATTTGAGAGAGAGAGCGAGAGAGAACCAGCAAGGGAAGGGGCAGAGGGAGAAGCAGGATCCTTGCTGAGCAGGGAGCCCAACACAGGACTCGATCCCAGGACCCTGGGATCATGACCTGAGCCAAGGGCAGACGCTTAACCCACTGAGCCCCCCAAGTGCCCAACAGCCAGCCTTCTTACTTCGGGCGATCTTGTGCATCTCAACGGTGTTGGGCACAGCTCTCATGTCTCATTTTCAAACACGACTGGTCAACGTTTTTTGCTTCTTGATGGTTTTTGCTGGTTCCTCCTCTGAGAAGCCCAAGTCTTGTCTTTTGTTCTTCTAGAGGTGATAACATGGTAGTAACGGAACGTAAGGATATGCAGATACATGTTTATACAGAATCGTAGACTTCCATAACTACACTACACATGGATAATATGACTATGCATACCTATTTAGAAACAGGGCGATTTTAGGGATTCTTCAGAATCTGGCTTTCTTTCATAGCAGGACTTTTTACATTATCTGGTGAGCCGCAAGTTTTGAGGTAGATAGATTTGTGTCCTGGTAATGAAGAGAATGTTGCCAGATGTATTTTATGTGGGTGTCATCCACGTGCCTTAGAACCTTATAATCAGAAGAATTCCAGAAATTGAAAATACTTTAACGTCTTTGTAATTGGATATTTCTTAGAAATATCCAGTGTCTAGACCAGCATGGTCAGTCCTACAGAATTCTGTGCAGTTATGGGAAAATGTTCCAGGCAATGAGGTACAATAGGGTGGCTGCTGAGCACTGGAAATGTGGCTCATTTGACCAAAGAAGTGACTTAAAATTTTATTTTATTTTAAATAATTTTAATTTCAATTTCATTAGCCATAGGGGTCAGGTCGCTATCATGTTAGATAATACATCTCTAGAACCTTCCCACTCAACATGTGGACCATCATCATCAGCAATGGAGGTTCCCTGTTCTCAATGGAGCCCATTTGCTCTCAGAGGACAAGCTGGGTGCCATGATGGCCAGAACAACGTGGTCAAGGAGGCCACATGGACCAGTGGTAATGAAGCTCTTTTCACAAAGACAGCAATGTTCAACTAAGTTCAACTAAGTTCAACATTGGGTTGTCCTTATTCATCTCCAACCCAGACACAGGTAGGGGCTTTCGTTAGAGGGACGTCGAAGGTACAGGCCTCCAGCCATGTTGATGCACAATGCAGATGTCATCCGATGGCTTGGGTGTTGACCATGACCCCATGACAAGATACCAGGAGGGTCCTGCCACCCTCTGGTCAAACTTCCTTTTCTGCAGACCCCAAGCCATTTAGAAGGACTCATGTGGATTTCCTCTCCAAATGGTTCCAGCCTGGTTGGGCGACTGCCAGTAGACATCACTGCATTTCATTATGGGGAGCCCTCTGCCCATTGTACCTGGGAGGGGGGCCCAGGGAAGTGACGTCTGCCAGTGGCGGGACCCTGGGAAAGATGATGGGATTTTGTGAGCTGTGAGACACTTGTTCACATTTAGAGAATATTTCTAAAATAGTAAATTGGGTGAGTCCTCCGTTCTATATATTCTAGGATGACGGCAGACCCCAAGGAATAATTGTGCAGTGAGGCCAGTGGTTTGGGTGGTGAAGGCCGTTGAATGTCTGTACATACGTATTTCTGCCCAGTTGCCCTGTTGGAAGAATACAAGTGTTTAGAAATGTAAGTATAAGAGAGAAGCAATTGTTGGTTGATGGTAGCTGGGGGTCGGGGAAGTTTAGGGGAAAGAAAATCCCCATTATGGATCCTGAAATGTTGACAGGTATTACAATAAATAGGTAAAGGCACAACTCTCTCTTTACCTTGGACCCCAAAACTCAGCGGGAACTATCATTTAAAAAGAGGGCACTTGTCGGGATGAGCATTGGGTGTTGTATGCATGTGATGAATCACTGAATTCTACTCCAGAAACCAATATTGCATGGTACGTTAACTAACAAAATTTAAATTAAAAAAAAAAATCAAGTTCGCTGTTGTAAATTTTTTAAAATTAATAAATAGCGCTTATCAGAAAGAAACAAAAGTACATTGGGAAGGGACTTTAAATTCAAATTAGTGAGTGAAAGAAGGCAATCGGAAAAGGCTCCATCCTGTATGATTGCAACTCTATGATATCCTAGAAAAGGAGAAACTATGGAGACGGTAAAAAGGTCAAGGGTTGCCAGGGGTGGGGGAAGGGAGGTATGAACAGGTGGAGCACAGGGGATTTTTAGCACAGGGCAACTACTCTGTGTCACACCACACCAATGGACACATGCCACTATGTATTTGCCCAAACCCACACAAAATGTGCGCCCCCAAGAGTCATCCCTAATGTAAACTACGGACTCACGGTGATAATCATGCATCAATGTGGGTTCATCTATTTTAATTTTACAAGTGTCCCATGCTGGTGCGGGATGTTCATAGGAGGGCAGGCTCTTCATGGGTGGAGGCAGGGGGTATATGGGAACTCTCTGTACCTTCCACTTAATTATACTGTGAACCTAAAACTGCTCTAAAAACTAAAGTCTATTTTTTTAAAAAGTGCACGGATACAAAATTTTGTTGCAGAGCTATGCTCCCAAGCACAAGGTGAGGGAATATAATGGTTGGGGAGCCGCTTGCTTTTAGTTTCCAAATGGAAAAGGGCCAGGTCAGTATTGACGAAGAATCAGGAGCATTCTGCAAAAACCATCATCTGCTTAGGTTGGTCTGAGAATTGTGGACAGAGTGGGAAAGGAGCAGGCTGAGCCAGCAGAAGCCTCGGCTGTAAACGAGGGGAGCTCCTCTGATGGCCCTGGGCAAACAGGGTCTCCTGGAGGGTTTGTAGGGTTCGAGTACTGCTAAGTTAGGATGGGGAGTCAGGTTTGCACTAAGCACAGCAACGGCTTGAGCCCAGGTGGACACAGCCCGGGGGAAAGAAACAGAAATTCATGGAGATATCAGGGCTGCAAGACAATGGTGTTGGGCGAAAACCATTAGCAGGGGAGGGGGTCTCACACTGCTTTCACTTCCAAATTATGAATGTGTAGGAGGGAGGCATATGGAGGGAGTCAGCAGATTGTCAAAGTATGTGGCTATCCTGTTGAACTGCTAAGCAATAAAAACAAAACCCATGCAGTCGTCGCTGAAGAATGTGGACAGCCTGCAATACCATGCACACAGCTGCAGGATGGAGCCACTGATGCTTCCAGAAGTGCCCAGAGCCAGCACCCAGGCTCCTCAAAACTGCCGCGCCCCAGAGGACTCCATTACCCACCGAGAACACTCGCCTGGGGGAGAAGGGGCAGCTTCCCCACTCGGGCCAAGGGCTCCTGTTGAATAGTTTGACCCACCAGTGAATGCAAAACCATCTCAGGGGGAAAAAAACCCTCAATTTTAAAAATGTCTTATGGATGCTGTAGCCCCCTGTGAACCTCATGCTGCTCTCGCCAATCTGAGACCTGATGTCAGAGCCTGAAAATCCCACTCAGCGTCTGAGGTTTAGACATCTTAATAAAAGTCACTTATCTTGACCTCCCAGTTAACAGACCACAGGTATTTAGAATATTGTGCAAGAAAATCCTGTGCACATCTGCACTGGGCTCTGCTCAGATGCAGTAAAACCAAAGACCTGTCTAGACAGGGCGTCCTCGGATTTTGCTGCAGGTCAGTGATTCCTGAAATAGTTTAATCCTTTCATGGAGATGGGGAATGAACTTTTCCCTGGAACCACACGTGGTCCAGCTATTGTGTGGTGCTATGCTTGCTTTGTGTTCTTTGGGCTATATACTAGTTAGGGTTCTCCAGAGAGAGGAGCAACAAGAGATCAAGAGAGGTAGAGATACAGACACAGATAGAGATACAGAAATCTCTATATCCTTATCTGTATCTCTTCATTTTATCTGTATCTATCAATCTATCCATACATCCATCCACCCATTATTTATCTGACCTATATATCCATCCATCACCTATCATCTATCTAACCATCCATCCATCCTTACATCTATCTGTCCATCCATCCCTATGTCCATCTGTCTATCATCTATCTACCTATCTATCCATCCATCCATCTATCCATCCCTATGTCTGTCTATCTATCCATCCATCATATCTATCTATCTATCTATCTATCTATCATCTATCTATCCATCCATCCATCCATCCCTATGTCTATCTATCCATCCATCCATCCATCCAACCATCCATCCATCCATCCATCATATCTATGTATCTATCTATGTATCTATGTATCTATGTATCTATGTATCTATGTATCTATCTATCTATCTATCTATCTATCTATCTATCTATCTATCTTTCTATCCATCCATCCATCCATCATATCTCTCTATCTATCCATCTATCTATCTGTCTACCTACATAGAGAGAGGCAGAGAAATTTATTTTAAGGGACTGGCTCACATGATTTTGAGGGCCAGCAAGTCCAAAATCCACAGGGCAGGCCAGCAGGCTGGAAATTCAGCTAAGAGTTGATGTTGAAGGCTTCAGTCCAAAGTCCACAGGCAGCATGCTGGAAATAAGGTGGAATTTCTATGGTGTGCTGCGGAGGCAGAATTCCTTCTTCGTTGGGTGACCCCGAGTCTATTTTTTCTTAAGTCCTTCAACGGATTTGGTGAGACCCACCCACACTGTGGTAGCCAATCCACTTAACGCCAAGCCTACTAATATAAATGTTCATCTCATCTGAAAAATATCTCCTCAGGGACATGTAAACCAATATTTGACCCACACTGGGCACCATAGCCCATTATCCATCACAGGCCATATTGAAACAAAACCACTTGAACAGTCCCGTCTGATGGCCTGACCCATGGGTACATCCCAAAGGCGAGTCATGCCAGCTCAATGGTACATCCCTCTGAGTTGAGTTGCAGACAAATAAAAGCAATCATTGTTTAGACGTCAGGAGGACAGAGCCAGCAACCATTTTCTCCACCTGTTCCCCTTCTTGTCCCCCAGGTCCCAGAGCTCAGTGGCTGGAAGTCTTAGCTATGAAAGTAGGCTGCATAGGTGAAATGCCGTGTGCTTCTTCTCCTTAACTTCTTAACTTTCTAGAGGCCTTTTGTCCTCCCTCAATGTTAATCTCCTCATCCAAAAAAGAAGGCCCTAAGAGCCTCCACACCCAGGAGCATTGAGGTCTTTAAATGTAGTCCTTTTAGAACACTGTGCCTGACACACAGGAGATACCCAGTGAATACCAGCTGTTGTTGCAGACATATTTCTGACTTGCAGGGACCAGAACCAGTCTGGTTGATGTGAGCAGGAAGGAAATGTGACTTCCCAGCCATTCCCAACTATCATGGGAAAGAAATGGGGTATTGCTTTCCTACAAATAGGAAAGAAGAGAAGCATCCAGAATATTACTCAGGCATAAAAAGGATGAGATCTTGCCATTTGGGACAACATGGAGGGAGCTAGAAGGTACTATGCTAAGCAAAATGAGAAAGACAAATACCATATGATTTCACCTTATAGATGGAATCTGAAAAACAAAACACAGGAATAAACAAACAAAAAGCAGAAACAGACCCATAAATGCAGAGAACAAATAGGTGGTTGCCAGAGTGAAGGAGGTGGGGGGTTGGGCAAAATGGGAGAAGCAGAGTGAGAGGTACAGAATGCCAGTTATGGAATGAAAAGTCATGGGGATGAAAGGCAGAGCACGGGGAAGATAGTCCGTGGTATTGGAATAGTGTTGGATGGTGCAGGTGGTGTCTACACACATGGGGAGCACAGCACAATGTGTAGACTTGTCAAATCACTATGGCATGCAGCTGAAATTAATGTAACATGGTGTGTCAGCTGTACTTCTATAAAAACAGAGATGTGAACACAGACCCTATTAAAGGGAATGAATGAGCCCTGAGAAGGGTCGGAGGACCAGGATGCATGGTTCACAGATGGAAATGATGGCCCCAGGGTCCATAAAATAAAGGCAAACACCCGTAGCTCGTGGGGCCTTTGATCGGAAGCCACACAGCTCCCCCCATCATCTTCAGCCCCCATGATGTCAGGACTGGACCCCACGTGGACTCTTCCTCTGGCATCCCCAGAAGAACCAGGTCTCCCCCTGCCAGCATGCAGATGGGAAGATGTGCTCTTCTGCTGTGACTGGTGCACGTCAAAGCTCATCTCTGGGCCTCATGCAATAACAGCAGATCTACCTGGAAGAATCTGGCTCAGGTGAGGATCCCAGATGCCAAGAATCCTGGGACATGGAGCATTCGCTTCCCGTCTTCTTGTCCAGGCAGCCAAGTTGGGAGGTCCTCCAGCTTGCAGACAGCAGATGGTGGGACTTCACTGCCTCCATGATCATGTGAGCCAATTCCCTAGAGAAGATCTCTTCCTACATATATATCCAATCAGTTCTGTTTCTCTGAAGACCCCTGACTAAAGCGAGTCATCTAGACCAGGAGTTGGGAACTAATGACCCATGAGCCAAATCTTGTGAGCTGCCTGGTGTAGGTCAGCTAAGATTAATTCATGCCTTGTTTTAAATGGTTGGGCAAAAGTCAAAAGAAGAATCTTCTGTGACCCTGAAAATAACGTGAAATTCAAGTTTCTGTGTCCATAAATAAAGTTTTATTGGAACACAGCCATGCCCCTGGGTTACGTATTGTCTATATCCATTTACCTGCTCACAGGGCAGAGTTGATGCTGCAGCAGAGACCATACATATGGCAAACAAAAGCCAAGAATATTTACCCTTTTTACAGAAAAAGATTGCCAAGCCATGCTCTACAGCTTTGAGCAGAAGTCAGGAGGAAACCCAAAAAGCTTAAGAAACAATCTATTAACTGCCCCCTGTCTTTGACACCAGATGACACATTTTCCTGCAAATCCCCCTTCTGGGATTCCACAGACTTTCTCTCTATTTGCTTTGTTAACAAGGGTTTTCCGTCTTTGAGAATCCATCCTCTGTAACACCCATGGTACCCGTGGACAGGCCCCAGCCATGGGTGTGGTCCTCCCGACTTCCCATTCTTCCTAACTAGCACCAAACAGCCCTGCACTTAACAGCTTCCATTGCTCTGAGTCAATACTTTTGGAAAACACAGTCCATTACTTCTACTTCTACAAGCAGCCAGGGCATGTCTCCCCCGCTGCCAAGTGCACACAAACCGAGAGGATCATAACTGCTTAAGTGGACTAACCGTAAATACCAATTTCGCAAGACTATAAACCCAGCAGCAATGAACTCGACGCACATTCCAAATGACAGCCTCGTTTGTGTTTGATTTAGGAGAGCGTTGGGATGATGATTTATGTGTCAGTGCTGCATTGACATGCAAGCTTGAGAGCTCCGTTGAACCTGCATAGGCATTGAAGCAGCAAATGGTGTTTTGAAGAAAAGATGGTGGAGCAAGGCTGGTCGATATGGCGTCTTGGCTTCTTGGTTCATAGACAAGGGGGAAAGTACCAGGAAGCATCAGGCCCACCTCACCTCCTGATCTAAGCAGGTTGCACACATACAAACTCGTCTCGTGCTAGCCTAGAATGGGCTTTCCTTCCAGAATCCCAGAAGATGACGCCATGCCTCCTTGGGGAATGGAGCCATGCCTCCTTGGGGAATGGAATCCAAACTCTGGATTGAGTTATGACAGAGGGGAAAAAAAGAATTATTGGTCTCTTCTGGCCCCTGGAGTATCTTACTAATAGTCCAATCATAAGATAGACTTTTTTTTTTTTAATTGCATCTTTTCTCTCCGGAAAATGTCATCAGGGTCCAAGAAAAGGAGAAACTCAGGTAAGGGCCATCGATGCCATAGCAAGACCACACAATCAGACACCCTCCTGTCACCAAGGGATGGTCTTGGGTTGGTTTCCAAGGCTGGAACTGAGCACAAAGTCCAGCATATTAACAGAAGTTCAGTGAATTATGCAAAAAGATGAGTTTTGTAAATATGCATGTATTCCTAATGTATTGTGTATAGTGCTTAATGCTATGCACAAGAAAATAAGATGTAATTAAATAACTGAATGCAATTCTCCCATGCTTGGGATTAGCTTCAAGGTAAGTCTGAGGGTTGTAGGAGGGGACAGGTATGGGTGTAGATTAAACAGCGTTGCCCATGGGTTGGTAATTAGTCAACATAATGGGTACATGGGGGAATACAATAGACTATTCTCCCTACTTTTTTTTTTAAGGGTTTTTATTTATTTATGTGAGAGCGAGAGCAAGAGCAAGCGGTAGGGGCAGAGGGAGAGGGAGAAGCAGACTCCCCACTGAGCAAGGAGCCCGACACCAGGCTCAATCCCAAGACCCTAAAAACCCAGCAGCAGCTATGAACTGGACGCACATTCCAAATGACAGCCTCGTTTGTGTTTGATTTAGGAGAGTGTTGGGATGATGATTTATGTGTCAGTGCTCCATTGACATGCAAGCTTGTCTCAGATCATGACCTGAGCCAAAGGCAGATGCTGAACCGACTGAGCCACCCTGGTGCCCCTCTCCCTACTTTTGTATGTTTGCAATTCTCCAGAAAACTTTAATCATAATGAAAACTTTGGAAGGCAGACATCTAAAAATTTACTCTTCCCCCATCCCCTTGACCTGAAATCTGTTAATATAAATATATCCCTGTCAACCACAATGACAAGATTTTTAAAGGTGACTGACTTATGAACTTCCTGGCAGCCAAGGGAAAAAGTGAGACCTCTCTTGTTATATGAATAACGATTTCCCAACATTTCCTTCCCACAAAGGAAAGCTGTTCCAGTCATATCTCTGAGTCATTAATACCAAACATGTCTTCATTAATTCCCCTACAGTGAAGAGAGTGACACAATTTGTAAATACACTCTGCTATAAATATTTTCAATCTTAACCCCCAGTGTGTAATAACAAAGTGATGCTCAGAGGAAGCAATTCTGTGCAGAAGTACAACAGAAGAGGTCCAGAATTCAGCTTTTAGGCTGAGTTGAAAATTGTGGTTGACAGGAATATATTAACAAATTTCAGGTCAAGGGGGTAGGGGAAGAGTAACTTTTTTAAATAGTCTGCCTTCCAAAGTTTTCATTATGATTAGATTAAATTTTTCTGGAGAATTGCAGACATATTCAAATAAAATAAAACCCATGCTATCTGGGACCAGTGGTCCTTCCAACCACTGTCCCCAAATATCGTATTTCTCACATGGTAGCTTGACCCAAATGAATGGCATTTTAAGGTCCTATCAACTGGCAAAGCCATGGAAAACCCACATTTTCCATAAACCCCACAGATGCATAAACCCTAATAATCTACCTTGAGAATAGCATGATTATTACCCTATCATGGGGGCTCATGGCAGAATGGGTGGGGAACCTTTCTCAATATAGCTAATATGTTCCTTATAAATGAGCATCCTTCCTGTGCCTTCCTCTCCCTCCCTCTCTCTCTCTCTCATATGCATGCACACATGCACACAGTCTCCAATCTCCTCTACCTTCCATATCCCTCACATCATTTTAACCAAGGAAATGTTTCAAAGTCAGACTGATCCCAGCAACAGAAATATCCCCATCACTCACCCATAGAGTTTCTGGATTTGAGCAATGCAGTGACTTTGTGAAGTCTCAGGAGACATTTCATGCAAAAGATCATTCTAGGTCACCAAAACCACCGTATGGAATTACTGCATGCAAACCCACTTGGTCTCGGTGGCCACCTGCCAAAAATAATTATATGAAGTTTAGACAATGTATCGTGAGTGACTGTTATGTCATGGCTTCCTTGTAGGAACAAGTGTCTATTGGCATCCCTTGATTATAATAAACCAATATAATATACTATCAAGATTATAACAAATTAATTTAGTATCAGACTTATAATAAATTAATATATTACTATAATACATATTATAATAAATTAATATACTACTATACTAATATATTACTATAATACATATTACAATAAATTAATATACTACTATAATGAATTAATAGGCTATCAGGTTTAATATACTATATATAATAAATTAATATATTATCAGGATTATAATAAATATACTATCAGGATTATAATAAATTAATATGTTATTATTATACATTAATATACTATCAGGATTAATATATATAATAAGGTAATATACTATCAGGATTCTAATAAAGTAATAAACTACTATAATAAATTAACACACTATCAGGATTAATACACTATATATAATAAGTTAATATACCATCAGGGTTATAATAAATTAGTATACTATCAGTATTACAATGAATATACTACTATAATAAAATAATATA